GAATGGTGTGAACGAATATTAGTGCGAAAGTTAATGACGCATTGAATAGTTACGCGGTTCGAAAGAATGTGACGTTTTAGTGTAGGTTCGTTGTTGTCGGGGAAAGAAGTTAAAAAGTACACTTGTTCTTGTTGTGTTAGAGTGATGTCGTAATGTAGTCCAGTCTTAGTATAGTTCGTTCAAGTCGTCCTTTGTAATGCAATAAATAGTCAAATTAATGTCATCCTGTCGAATCATTTGTATACCTTGATGTCGTCGTGCTTTGGGATGAACTACTGAATGGCTAGACAGAATATAAAGGTAGTGTTGACCCTCTCATGTAGAGCCCTACATTACATAGTTATTCAGTTTAACAATATATATATATATATATATATATATATATATATATATATATATATATATATATATATATATATATATATATATACTGAGGGGTCCAAGGGGGGGGGGGGGGTTATAACCCCCCTAACCCCCCCCCCCACCGTGCCTACGCCACTGCAAATAAGTATTCGCATAGCTTTAGAGTAGCGTCCCTTTTGTTTACATGTTTTCATTACCCTTCAAACAAAAGTCTATTTTAGTTATATTGAGATTAAAGAATGTAGATAAATAGTACACACAATTCTGTAGAATAGGAACGATTGGGAGGGAAGTGACATTTAGCGCAGGAAATTTAGAGGATAGGTAGGGTATAATAAATGGTGGAGTTAGGAAAGTTAAGGGGTCCATTCTCTAATAGGCAGTCTATGTCTCTTTCGTACTTTCGTGTTGGTTTATTGTCGAACCTGTCCTCACCTCACATCACAACAGTTGGCTGACGCTTACCGTGTAATGTTAAAATAAATAGCATGTAATTGAGTTAGTTCGAAGTGAGTTTTCAAACAAGCCCAACACACTAATTAAGGTTGTCGCAAAATGTAACATATTTGTAACATATGTCAATAATATCAATGAATTTTCATTAAAAAAAAGATGTCTAGTAATGTTTACGAAACTTACGAACTTCGCCGATACTTTTTTGGTGGGTAGGTGGGTAAGTGAGTAGGCGGGTAGGTGGGTAAGTGGGTAGGTGGGTAGGTGGGTAGTAGGTAAGTAGGTAGGTGCGTCATGGTGTGAAAAAAATATTAAATACATAATTGTTATTTTGGTGCGAATGAATGTTGTTACGAGAGATATGACGAATGCATGTTCGATGACGCGGATGAAAGAGAGTGTAGTTTTGCCATAGGAACGGGTTGTTATGGTATGCAAGCTAGGTAGTTCGAACTAGGGAGAATGTGAAAGATACTACGTGTAATGTCGATAGTTTTATGTTTATTTATACGAGAATAGTAGTTGAATAATTATTGACCAAGAAAATAATAGGCATTGTGTAAAGCGATTATCGCCTGTATCATGGTGATAGAAATGCACATGGTAGTGGTATGCTTTAAATGGTAGTAGATCACGTGATCAAACACGACACTCTCACAGCAGCCTTAACAGTCATGTATACATGTGCAATCTAGTCCATATAGGTCTCTGTGCTAAATTTCTCTTTTGCACATTTTTAGTTGTTTTTTTTCTGGTTGCGCTTTTTTCCGTGTGCGCTTTTTTCTGTTTGCGCTTTTTTCTGTTTGCGCTCTTTTCTCTTTGCGCTTTTTTCCGTTTGCGCTTTCTTCCGTTTGCGCTTTTTTCCGTTTTCGCTTTTTTCCGTGTGCGCTTTTTTCTCTTTGCGCTTTTTACCGTTTGCGCTTTTTTCTCTTTGCGCTTTTTTCCGTATGCGCTTTTTTCTGTTTGCGCTTTTTTCCGTTTGCGCTTTTTTCTGTTTGCGCTTTTTTCCGTTTGCGCTTTTTTCTGTTTGCGCTTTTTTCCGTTTGCGCTTTTTTCTGTTTGCGCTTTTTTCCGTTTGCGCTTTTTTCTCTTTGCGCTTTTTACCGTTTGCGCTTTTTTCTCTTTGCACTTTTTTCCGTATGCGCTTTTTTCTGTTTGCGCTTTTTTCCGTTTGCGCTTTTTTCTGTTTGCGCTTTTTTCCGTTTGCGCTTTTTTCTGTTTGCGTTTTTTTCCGTTGCGCTTTTTGTTTTGCGCTTTTTTCCGTTGCGCTTTTTTCCGTTGCGGTTCATTCCGGCCCCACCAGTATATATATATATATATATATATATATATATATATATATATATATATATATATATATATATATACATACACATATACACATATATATATATATATATATATTGTATATATATATATATATATATATATATATATATATATATATATATATATATATATATATATATATATATATATAATGTATATATATATATGTATATATATATATATTGTATATATATATGTATATATATACATATATCTATATATAAAATTTAAAACGGACTATCTCAGCTTCTTTCTTTTTGTTTTTAGGTTGAACCATTCACAATTCCGCCAAGATACTGGACTTATAATTTTGAAGGAAGCCTAAGAAGAGGTACAGCGGACCAGCCAAAAAACAGGAACACGATGAAAATCAAATTAGTTATCCGTGATGCCAGATGTTCAGATGACGGCACTTACATTTGTCGAGGGATGTATATTAGCTCTAACGGTCAACAAACAAACGTAAAAGGCTTGTACCAGAATCTCAGCATCGCCCATTGTGAAACTTACGCAGGGGAGATAATTCCAAGTATAGGCCCTAAAAGTTTACTATGATATTTCTTGTAAAAGCAAAAACAAGTAAACGTATTTAAAACCGAAGTTTCTAGTATAATATTATTTTTTATTATTTGTAGGATACAATATAGTACAGGATACAAATTCTACCACTATCACAAACACATATTTACGTTGAAAAATGTACAATAGATTTTGGGTCCCTAATCAATACCGCAAAGAAGAAGTGCGCATCATGAAAGCCCACATCATATGTAGCGGCTTCTCAAGCAATGGACTGTTATTTTTTAAAAAAGATTTTGCCCGCGACAGTGTGTGTTTGATTGTAGGGGAATAGAACTCGGCCTTAACCATAGTTTAAAAAATACAATTATAAATAACTTTTTAAAATATTTAAATACATTTGACGACAATTTTCGAGCCCCCTATTTGGTCCCTATCCCCTGCCCCATCCGCAACAGTACACTTTGGAGGATCGGTCACAGTTGCGTGTCCCCTATGTGGCTGTCAAAGGGGAGCAACGACTCACAGAAGTCATTCAAATTTGAAGAGTTGCCTATATTTTACACTGCAGTTTGGGTAATGTATTTTAATTTTTGCGAAAGAGCGTGGTATAATGACTGTAAAATAAAGATAATCGTACCGCAGCTACAGTATTTTTCTTTTAAAAACCAAATATCAAGGTAAAAATGCACGAAAATTAAATTAAATGTTTATAAAAATATTAATTATGGTCAGCCGTGGGACCCTAAACAGCCTGGACCCCCCCCCCCGGCATTGCGGGGTCTGGCGGCACTATAGTTCCGCCCCTGATACGAAATCTTGTATTGGAGCCACCATTTATTGTACTAAAAAGTAAACAAATCATGTGACGTCACTATTCACTCAAAGTAAAGTCGTTTTTCTAATTTTTAAAATCCACCAATGAATAAATCAATAAATTAATTAACCTCTTTAAATAAATTTGAGATTAACAGTCTGTCTGAAGTCTGAAAACAAAAATTGTTCTCTACCTACATACTATTTTATAGCTCTATGCATATAGCAGATTCTCTCCAGTAGTCAATCAGACAAACACAAAAAAAAAAAAAAAAAAAAAAAAAAAAAAAAAAAAAAAAAAAAAAAAAAAAAAAAAAAAAACCACAAATAAATATTCAAAAATGTAAACAAACTAGAGTTTTAGTAGTATAGAGAAATATTTTAGTTTCTACTTCATAGTTGCGTAGCGGAATACTATAAAAATGGACCCGTATTGTCTGATAAGTCCCATGGCTATGTTGTGATGTACCAGAATGTTGGTTAAGCTGTGATAAGGAACCCCACATTCAATATATAATATCGTTTGATCTTCATCTCAACACTTTACAAAACAACTATGCCTGTATCGTTAGCTCAAAAAACATGTAGGATTTGGCTGCTTGAAAGCTGTTGTTTAATCCGTTGTTAGGCCTATAATCTTTTAAACCACCCACATGGATGTGTACTCAGACAGAGATTTGTTTCTTGTGGATAAAATGTTGTGACGTGGCAAGTATAGAGCTCTAGTGGTGAAACAGTGGCGTAGGTACAGCGATGTTAGGGCTAGGGTTTGGATTTTGTAATAATAAGTAGCACCTTACTGGCGACTTCTTGGCGTTGATAAAACACAAACCTTCAAACATATGAGGCTGTTAGGTATTATGTCCATGTTATTTCATAATAAACAGAGTGCCCAAGACCTAAGGGGCAGATAAAGTAGAGCTCACCTGTTTCAATGACCTCGTCATACACGGTGATAGTGCGGGTTGCACAATGCCCAGCCGATTTTGTTTCCCTAAAGTGAATCAGCTGACCATCTGGCCTGAGTGGACTCAGTTGCATCCTACAACATCGAGCCCGAAATCTGAACTCGAGACTTTTGAGTTAGCAGTCGCAAGCTCTACCAGTGAACCAAGCTGCACAAGAAAAGTGAGTTTTTGAAAATAACGGTACCAGTTAAAGTAGAGTTCACATGTTTCAGTTATCCCGACATATGAAAGAAAAGTGTGATCGTCACTATGCCCAGCCGTCTTTTATTTCACTAAAGTGAGTCAGGCATCTATCAGAGCTGGGTAGACAGAGACAAAAATTCAAACACTAGAATTTCGAGTAAGCAGTTGTATTCTCTATCATCCGACCACACCGTTAACACCTTACCTCTAATGATGATTGCTATCTCATTACTGACAACTAGAGTTAACTTATTTTTTCTCGATTAAATCTATCCAAATCTCCCCCTGCATTCCTACTAGCATCACCTCTGCCTTCCAAAGCCACGTCTATTGTAACACAGACTAGACTCCATTTAAAACAAAAAGACTGGTTAACTCACATTTTATATTTAGCTACGCCATTTGGTAAAATTAATGTTTCATGACGACAATAGTCCTGCATTTCAAAATGAACTACCGCATTTTATACGGGTTGGAGATGGTAATACTGTGTTGGTCAAAAGGTTGTATTTTTTCTTTTCCCATACATTTTTGTTTGAAAATTTCATTAAATAAAAAAGTAAATATTTTGTATAACTGTTAAAATTGTGTTAAATTTAGTTGCAATTGTCTAATAAAAGAGTAGATGGATTACTTTAATTGAAAAATATTTTAAAAATAAATTTTTATTTAGCAATTAATGACAGATTATCGTTTTAGTGAACGGTCAAAGTAGTAGAGATGATATCGTCAGCCCAAGTGTAGTTGAGGCTAGAGGAACGTTTACTGTGACATGTGACGCGTCACGTGCTGGTGTACCAACAAATGCTACAACAGTTGCTCATTTATTTATTACACACAGACGTGGGACAATATATCGAGATTTAGCAATATACAGCATATATGTATATCCATACGAGATAAAAGTAAGTATTTTAATTAAAAACTGCAACTGTAACATCTTTTAAAGGGTAATGTCTCACGTAAACCTACGAGTACACGCACACAAATACATTTCTTGACATATATATCCTAACGTGAGCTAATTTTTTAAAAACTTGTTTATTTTGTCTCTCACTATGACCGTGACCATAAAAAAATTCATAAAAAAAGTTTTAATAACAAACTTTTATGTACTAATACACTAAAAAGATAAACTAAATAGGTTTCTATAAATATATTGTAATATAATACACTACTATGTATATAACTATAAAGAAAAGCGTGGGTCGCTTCCTAAATATTAGTAAAAGTATCCAATAAATAATATAAGAACCCACGCTGTTCTTTATAAACCATTTAAAAATATTGCATGATGAAGTACAGTTTTTTTATTATATGCATGTTTTCCACACTTACTCAGAATCTATACATCTTTATATTTTAGACATGCCGTTCCAGCCAAAAAAAAAAAAAAATAAAAAAAATAAAACCCAAACGCAAACATAACAAAAACGCAATCATTGACTCAAAAGCAAACACAAACCCAAAAACAAACACAATCACTAACATCAATCCAAACGCAAACACTAAAGCAAACGCAATATCATACGCAAACAAAATAGCAAACACCAACGCAAACACAAAAAAACAAACACAACCAAAACTCAAACACTAACGCAATTAAAAATGCAAACATAAACACAAACAGAAACGAAAACACAAACACAAATACGAACGAGCACAAAAACGTAAACGCAAGCCTAAACTTAAACAATAATACAAACATAAATGCAAACATAAACACATAGTGCTCACAGTGTAGCACGGGGTGCCAAATCACACTTTGACGGGGCGCCGTCGGAACCACCCGGTATTCGATATAGTGAAAGAATATAGAAACCCTTCTTATCAATAGTCAATCGCACTGTTTAAAACAAACGTATACGCTATGAAGCTAACTTGAAGGCCCTGGGGGTGGGGCAAAATAGAACCCTGTTGGGGCCAGAGGACGCCCTGGATTCGATTTTCGTGAAGGACTGTAGTAACCCTTTTTTAAAAATTCATTTTCCTAATTTATCAAGGGGTGTAATAAGTGCTAAATGTTCAGACATAATTATAATTTTTGAGAGCGCCCCTATACGTCCTTGACACATGGGCGGTCACCAAAGTGTTGTACCATATTATTTTGGTGAGTGATTAATGTATACTCAAGGTTTTCATGCGGTAGTTAGGCAAACACGTGTCCCGATATTTATGTTCCAAGCGCAGGCATTGTTTACATTTAAATAACTTAATTTTAGAAAACAACTTCACGATTCTAAGAATATATGATTGGTAACGCATGGATGAAACCCTTCTAATATATTTCGCCGGACTTTCTTCTATTCCCGCGGCAACGCGCGGGGACGGGTACGCTAGTATAAATGGTTCCCAGAAAGAACCGCAACGGAAAAAAGCGCAACGGAAAAAAGCGCAAAACAAAAAGCGCAACGGAAAAAAGCGCAAAGAGAAAAGAGCGCAACGGAAAAAAGCGCAAACGGAAAAAAGCGCAAACGGAAAAAAGCGCAAACAGAAAAAAAGCGCAAACAGAAAAATTCGCAACCAGAAAAAACACAACGAAAAATGTGCAAAAGAGAAATTTAGCACAAAGACCATATGGACTAGATGACACATTTACGCGTGGGGACGGGTACGCTAGTATAAATGTTTCCCAGAAAGAACCGCAACGGAAAAAAGCGCAAAGAGAAAAAAGCGCACACAGAAAAAAGCGCAAACAAAAAAAGCACAAACGGAAAAAAGCGCAAACAGAAAAAAGAGCAAACGGAAAAAAACGCAAAGAGAAAAAAAGCGCAAACAGAAAAAAACGCAAAGAGAAAAAAGCGCAAACGGAAAAAAAACGCAAAGAGAAAAAAGCGCACACAGAAAAAAGCGCAAACGGAAAAAAGCGCAAACGGAAAAAAGCGCAAACAGAAAAAAGAGCAAACGGAAAAAAACGCAAAGAGAAAAAAGCGCACACAGAAAAAAACGCACACAGAAAAAAGCGCAAACGGAAAAAAGCGCAAACGGAAAAAAGCGCAAACAGAAAAAAGCGCAAACGGAAAAAAAGCGCAAACAGAAAAAAGCGCAAACGGAAAAAAGCGCAAACAGAAAAAAGCGCACACAGAAAAAAGCGCAAAGAGAAAAAAGCGCAAACGAAAAAAAGCGCAAACAGAAAAAAGCGCAAACCGAAAAAAGCGCAAACAGAAAAATTCGCAACCAGAAAGCGTACCACTACCATGTTCATTCCCATCACCACGATACAGGCGATTATCACTTTACACAATGCCTATTATTTTCTTGGTCAATAATTATTCAACTACTATTCTCGTATAAATAAACATAAAACTATCCTTGAAATCGACATTACACGAAGTATCTCTCACATTATTCTCCCTAGTCCGAACTACCTAGCTTGCATACCATAACAACCCGTTCCTATGGCAAAACTTCACTCTCTTTCATCAGCGTCATCAAACATGCATTCGTTATATTTCTCGCAACAACATTCATTCGCACCAAAATACCTGATAAAACACACATCATAGCAATGATGTATTTACTATTATTTCATAATGACGCACCTACCTACCTACCAACCTACCTCACTCACAACCTACCTACCTACCTACCTACCTACCTACCTACCTACCTTCCTGTCTACATGCAAACCTGCCTATATACCTACCTACCTACCTGCCTGCCTACCTGCCTGCCTAACTGCCTGCCTACCTACTTATCTACTTGCCTACCTGCCTGCCTGCCAACTACCTACCTACCTGCCTACTTACCTACCTACCTGCCATGCAAACCTGCCTAACTACCTGCTGGCCTGCCTGCCTGCCTACCTGCCTGCCTACCTAACTACCTGCCTACCTACCTGCCTGCCTGCCTACCCACCTACCTAATTACCTCATATATATATATATATATATATATATATATATATATATATATATATATATATATATATATATATATAGTTTTGATGTATGTTTAAACAAGGAATGGTGTGAACGAATATTAGTGCGAAAGTTAATGACGCATTGAATAGTTACGCGGTTCGAAAGAATGTGACGTTTTAGTGTAGGTTCGTTGTTGTCGGGGAAAGAAGTTAAAAAGTACACTTGTTCTTGTTGTGTTAGAGTGATGTCGTAATGTAGTCCAGTCTTAGTATAGTTCGTTCAAGTCGTCCTTTGTAATGCAATAAATAGTCAAATTAATGTCATCCTGTCGAATCATTTGTATACCTTGATGTCGTCGTGCTTTGGGATGAACTACTGAATGGCTAGACAGAATATAAAGGTAGTGTTGACCCTCTCATGTAGAGCCCTACATTACATAGTTATTCAGTTTAACAATATATATATATATATATATATATATATATATATATATATATATATATATATATATATATATATATATATATATATATACTGAGGGGTCCAAGGGGGGGGGGGGGGTTATAACCCCCCTAACCCCCCCCCCCCCACCGTGCCTACGCCACTGCAAATAAGTATTCGCATAGCTTTAGAGTAGCGTCCCTTTTGTTTACATGTTTTCATTACCCTTCAAACAAAAGTCTATTTTAGTTATATTGAGATTAAAGAATGTAGATAAATAGTACACACAATTCTGTAGAATAGGAACGATTGGGAGGGAAGTGACATTTAGCGCAGGAAATTTAGAGGATAGGTAGGGTATAATAAATGGTGGAGTTAGGAAAGTTAAGGGGTCCATTCTCTAATAGGCAGTCTATGTCTCTTTCGTACTTTCGTGTTGGTTTATTGTCGAACCTGTCCTCACCTCACATCACAACAGTTGGCTGACGCTTACCGTGTAATGTTAAAATAAATAGCATGTAATTGAGTTAGTTCGAAGTGAGTTTTCAAACAAGCCCAACACACTAATTAAAGTTGTCGCAAAATGTAACTTATTTGTAACATATGTCAATAATATCAATGAATTTTCATTAAAAAAAAAGATGTCTAGTAATGTTTACGAAACTTACGAACTTCGCCGATACTTTTTTGGTGGGTAGGTGGGTAAGTGAGTAGGCGGGTAGGTGGGTAAGTGGGTAGGTGGGTAGGTGGGTAGTAGGTAAGTAGGTAGGTGCGTCATGGTGTGAAAAAAATATTAAATACATAATTGTTATTTTGGTGCGAATGAATGTTGTTACGAAAGATATGACGAATGCATGTTCGATGACGCGGATGAAAGAGAGTGTAGTTTTGCCATAGGAACGGGTTGTTATGGTATGCAAGCTAGGTAGTTCGAACTAGGGAGAATGTGAAAGATACTACGTGTAATGTCAATAGTTTTATGTTTATTTATACGAGAATAGTAGTTGAATAATTATTGACCAAGAAAATAATAGGCATTGTGTAAAGCGATTATCGCCTGTATCATGGTGATAGAAATGCACATGGTAGTGGTATGCTTTAAATGGTAGTAGATCACGTGATCAAACACGACACTCTCACAGCAGCCCTAACAGTCATGTATACATGTGCAATCTAGTCCATATAGGTCTCTGTGCTAAATTTCTCGTTTGCACATTTTTAGTTGTTTTTTTCTGGTTGCGCTTTTTTCCGTTTGCGCTTTTTTCTATGTGCGCTTTTTTCTGGTTGCGCTTTTTTCCGTTTGCGCTTTTTTCTCTTTGCGCTTTTTTCTGTGTGCGCTTTTTTCTCTTTGCGCTTTTTACCGTTTGCGCTTTTTTCCCTTTGCGCTTTTTTCCGTATGCGCTTTTTTCTGTTTGCGCTTTTTTCCGTTTGCGCTTTTTTCTGTTTGCGCTTTTTTCCGTTTGCGCTTTTTTCTGTTTGCGCTTTTTTCCGTTTGCGCTTTTTTCTGTTTGCGCTTTTTTCCGTTTGCGCTTTTTTCTCTTTGCGCTTTTTACCGTTTGCGCTTTTTTCTCTTTGCACTTTTTTCCGTATGCGCTTTTTTCTGTTTGCGCTTTTTTCCGTTTGCGCTTTTTTCTGTTTGCGCTTTTTTCCGTTTGCGCTTTTTTCTGTTTGCGTTTTTTTCCGTTGCGCTTTTTGTTTTGCGCTTTTTTCCGTTGCGCTTTTTTCCGTTGCGGTTCATTCCGGCCCCACCAGTATATATATATATATATATATATATATATATATATATATATATATATATATATATATATATATATATATATATATATATATATATACATACACATATACACATATATATATATATTGTATATATATATATATATATATATATATATATATATATATATATATATATATATATATATATATATATATATATATATAATGTATATATATATATATATGTATATATATATATATTGTATATATATATGTATATATATACATATATCTATATATAAAATTTAAAACGGACTATCTCAGCTTCTTTCTTTTTGTTTTTAGGTTGAACCATTCACAATTCCGCGAAGAGACTGGACTTATAATTTTGAAGGAAGCCTAAGAAGAGGTACAGCGGACCAGCCAAAAAACAGGAACACGATGAAAATCAAATTAGTTATCCGTGATGCCAGATGTGCAGATGACGGCACTTACATTTGTCGAGGGATGTATATTAGCTCTAACGGTCAACAAACAAACGTAAAAGGCTTGTACCAGAATCTCTCTGTCCTAGGCAAGTATATTACATTCTGAATTAGAGCATATTAACTGTGGTATATAATGGAATTTTAACAGTAATTTATTTACTTTGTAACAAACATGAATGCCCATTTTCACTTTCTCGTGTACGAAGTATAGGGGAATTATTGTAATCGTGCAAAAATAGAAATCGAGACTTTTTCAAAGCTCGACGTTTAACACCTTTCTGAGTCAGAAAAATGTAGCTTTTCCATTTTTTTCAGTATGTCTCTCTGTGTGTGTATATGTGTGTGTCTGTGTCTGTGAACACGATAACTTGAGTACTGTTACAGCTATGTTGATGAAGTTTATAAATATTACATCGAATTTGTAGTTCTGTTTAAACTTTTCAGCGATTTCCGATAATCAGAAATGGAACTTATGCTACTTTTGTTGGAGAAAAAATATTTTATAAAATTAATTTGGGTCAAAACGCAATGTGCTTTACTCCACGTTTAACGATAATAGTATATTATAAGAAATAACTCAATAGCTAAAAATCCGACACATTTAATATAACATAGGCTACCAATACCTATTAGAAAAATACAATTATATACATTATTATTCAATACAACACCATATTGAATGCACACACTGATTAAAAGACTTAAAAGATTTAATTAAAAACCGCCTGTTCAAGTGTTATAATGGTTTTTTTTTTAGAGTAAATTGTATTAGTTTGTCCGAGAAAATCGTATACATTTTATAGCGTAACTTCTGAGAATCAGTTTTATAAAATCTAGATCTTAATCAAATTTGAATGAAATATAGTTCACTTCTTTATATTCTAAAATGGAAGATAACGCCATTAGTTTTGTGTTTTATCCAACATATTTTTTTCAACAAAAGTCCGTATTTTTAATTTTTTACATATAACGCTGAAGATACTGATCTCTTAGGCCCGGGGCATGCGGACAGAAGGAGAGACAGATTGTGTGTGTGTGTGTTAGAGAGAGAGAGAGAAGTGAGCACATGGTCTTTTATATATTAGGATTTTAAAAAGTTTAGGTATTTGATTAAATTCATGTCAATATCACGTAGTGTTATATAAAAATATTCGTAAAAGTTTTGGGAAGATCATTCCCGCTTCATTTAAATGAGTTATTTAAAATCAATTAATTAAATAACACTATAGTAATATTTTGAAAAAAAATCGTTAAACTTGAAGCATGTATTAAAAATAAACTTTACTATAATAAGGACAATATTTTTTTCTTGCCTAAACTATCGGCGTAAAAATTTAAATTCAAATTTGATATTCACTTTTTGATATTCACTTTTTGATTTTCACTTTTTGATTTTCACTTTTTGATACTATTTAATATGTATTTTTTAAAAATATTTATGCACCTCTGGATATTCACTTTTTGAGATTCCATTTTTGAAATGTACTTTTTAATATAAACTTTGTGATAAACTCTTTTTGCTATGATCTCTTTGAAATGCACTTATTGAAAACATATTTTAGGCGGTTAAAAAAGCACATACTTTAGCCTCAGAATATTTTCAATTTTCAATTTAAACAGTTGGAAGAAAAATGACTTTCTACTTGAATCCCATGAATAATACTGGACTGGGTCCATTTGAGTCCGTTCATCGACCAGGCTCAAGTGTTAGTATATATTGCAGCATTGAAGTAAGTACAGTCGCATTTAAAACAGCTGTAATAACAAAAAAAAAAGAATTTTTTACGCCATCTAAAATATGTAAGGGCAAAGTGGTGAGAAGCGGAAAATGTTGTGTATTTTTAGACCAAAATTCCATTGTACCCGCAAAAAAAAGAACACTTTAAACTAAGCTTTTGATGCAAAATACTTCCTACACCAGTAATTTGTTAGTTTAAGCTGCACAAAGAAGTTCTTTAAAAAAATATGATTTGTATCTTCCCAATCCCTTAGACAGCGTCTCCTTTTTTGTATCCTGACTTGCCTGTGGTTAAGTTAAATTCTTTATTCATTTTATGATTTTATCAAATCTTTTTTTGTATTTTCTTTTTGTGTTACTTACAACATAGATTTTTTAAATGTAAAAAGCAAACCTCGCTTTCGCAAGAAGTGGGATAAGATGTCCCACTTCTCATCACAACCGCTCAGTATATCACATCAAGTTGTCATTTTAATGGAATAGTTATAACTTTATAGTTAAAAAAATTATCAATATTTTATTCACTTAAATATCTATCCATTAATTGTTGTAAAAAAATTGACTATGCCTCTTCTCGTCCCCCCACTGCCCCTCCAAGTCCCACATCTCACGAACATAATAACTTAAAAATTTTGCGTCATATAAACCTTCATTTGCTACCCAGAGTCTAATCAACTATGATAAACCTTGAACAATACCATCTTTTAGTCACTGGGGAAGTTTGTGGTTTTTCTTAGACAGGCAAAAGGAAAACAAATTAGATTATAAATTGTTGCTCAAAGGACATGTGAAAGAGAGATAACTGTTCTAGACGCAGGACAATATCAGCCCTTCTTATCTACACCAAAACACTTGTTTAATGCATATCTATTGAACAGCTTGTTTATTTATTATCGTTTCTCTGAACGTTGACTATTATTTCAGGGACAAAACAACGTAACCTTTCAATGGAAAATTGGCAGCAAATTGAATAATTTCAGTAGCATTTCTCTATACCCTGCACTAAACCCAATATTTGAGAGAGTCGAGGTAGAACCAGCTTGTTCCCGCTACCGTCATTCGTCAACACTAAAGTTTCAAATAGAATACAAGTATGATGGCTACATGTTTGTGTGTGAGGCTACAGAAAACAACAAGGACACTGTTGTTGGGAACATGACAATATACACCCAAATAGGTATATATTTATGTAGCGCCCGAACTTTAAATTACAACAGCAATCAGTATTTTGCAATTTAATTTAAACTTAATAATACATACAATATAGTTATTCGTAAAGGTTGCTAGGAAAATTATACAACTAATTAATACATTACTGAATTCTAAAGTAAATCAACGTTTTAATAGTAATAACGTTTTGACAACATAAATATTTAGCACAAATTGTTTATCTCCGTTTTTATTCATGTTGTACACTTTTTTACAAATGTAAATAAATTAAATTCAAAAACTATATACAATTATTTTCAGAATTCCTCAAAATAAATATATATTGTGAAAATCAACGTATTTATTTTAATAAAGTTTTGATAACATACATTTTTAGCATCTATTTTTTATCTCCGTTTACATTCATGTTTTACCCTTTTGTACAAGTGTAAAAAATTAAATACAAAAACAATTTTAAAATATTTTCAGGGACAGAGGCAGCCCATACTGGGTATGAATGGCAACAATATAATTGTTCTAGTTTGTATTGATTTTCTAATAAATGCTTTTCTTTTAAAATACCAGTCTGAGAGCTATGATAAGTTAAGTTGGAAATTCAATATTAGGGTTTGATTAGTTTGGTTGACGGTTTGAATTAAAATATGTTTAAAATATGTAAAGGCACATCAGATGTCTAATATACATGCAAAAATTCTTAGTAATTTTTTTATTACTTTAAGTTTATTAGATCTTTAGTCTAAAGAAAATAAAAGATATCGAATTGTACCTCTACTGTCTTTAATTTATGAAAATACCTAAATTAACCGTTTTATTACTATTTACACCAATAGTTACCTTAAAGTTTTACACGCCCAGTCGCAATGTGAAATTTAAGCATTTTATACTTGCAATAATATACGACTGGTATAATTTAACCCATGTATTGTATAATTTTTAGTCAAAGAATAAGTGATCAGCTTCTCAGCCCAAGTGTAGTTGAGACTGGAGGAACTTTTACTGTGACATGTGACGCGTCACGTGCTGGTGTTCCAACAACTGCTACAACAGTTCGGACGCTGGTGATTGAGTGGTCAGATGGTACACAGCAGCTTAAACCTTTAGCAAGATACGGACATAATGGTACTCAATACGATGCTAAGGTAACTCGTTCATGTAGTTTATATAGTTTATAATGGAAGTTGAATTAAATTTTACGTTGTCATTTTTAGTATGCTTCAAATGAAACGAATAAAACATAATACATTGACATTATTTAAATCTAATTTGATATAGTGAATTTTTTACTGTAAACGTAAGAGTATCTAATTTATGTCAGTTTGTGATTGACAATGGTGATGTTTATTAACCATGAGTACCCGTCTCACGTAAATTATAAGCCTATATATTTTTAATGTCATACTTGTTATGAAAAAATATAAAATAGTCATTGGTCAATACGCTATGTGCTTTACTACACGTTGAACGATATTGGTGAAAAAGTAAAAAAAAAATTATTACAAAAAAAGCTAAAACCCAATTATATACATTATTAGTCAACCAGTATTGAATGCATACACTGATTTAGGTACTTAAATTATTTCGTAAAAAAACTGGTTTTCAATTGTATTTATGTTATTTGTCAAAGTAATTTTTATTACTTTAGATCTAGAAAATTGTAAACATTTCATAGTGTACGTCGTGATAAGTAAATCTATAGATCTAAATCAAACGTGAATGAAATATTCCCTTTCATCACATTCTAAAATTGGAAGATGACGCCATTAGTGTTGTGTTGTTGTGTATTTTCTGTAGTTTAAACATGCGACATCTTCTTCTTCTTCTTCGTTCTTAATTTTTAGTGTTGGGAGGGATCTAGCCTTATCTGCCAGAGGGTTTGAACTCGAGACTTTTTTTTCGAATTTACCAACCATGAGCTTTGCCGACTCAACCATGCTTCCATCACAATTAAGGATTACGTGTCAACTGGTTATGCGCCATTGAGGCCATTGACTCCGATTTCAGCCTGCTTTTCTTTTTGGATTTGCTTCCATTGACTTTGTCCAACCAAGAACAAACTACAAGACAGCAGTTGTTTGATTTTGGAGTTGTCTCTCATTGTTTTTTTTGCGTTTTTGTCAGAACGATAAACTTTATTGGGGTTCCATAATTAAAAGTGTGTTTCTTCATTTGAATATGCCTTTCTTTATATTTTCCTTCTTTAAGTAAAATTTAGTTTATACATTTAAAACATCCGCCGTATTATTATCAACAAAAGTCCCTATCATTAATAAAAATGTCCGTATCCAAAATAAAATAGAAAATACATGTATTCTGTATATATATATATATATATATATATATATATATATATACATTTTCAACTGTCTTTTCATTTAGTTTTACAATAAATTTCGCTAGCTCTACAATCTGTCCAAGAAAGTTATTTATAGATCTAAATATCAGGTGGCCAAGAAAGTTATTTATAGATCTGGAATCTAGTTCGAACCAAATTATTTTAAAATCAGAATAATTTATTGAGTATCTTTATTAAACTTTATTAGTCCTTAAATATTTGATAAAAATGTTTCGTTTTTAGCTTCAAGGATCATCTAATTCAAGAATAATACTAGTGATTTATCTATCCCTATTCTAGATCTAGATCTAGATTCTAGAGTTACGGAAAACTAGACTTGACTAAACCAGTCGTAGAATCTAGATAATTCTATCTATATCTAGATAATACTAAACTATTTCAGACCTTCATTATTTTATATAAATCTTTGTTTATTTTAGCTATGCAATTGGCTAATTTAAGATACAATTTAATTTGAAAGTGACTAGACTTAGATCTAGATCTAGATAGGGCCCATGCGCGTAAATTAAGTTGCATAAGGAGACTCATAGTATTAAGTTACACCACAAAAAGCATCAATGACGTTACGAGTCTTGACAGCTACGTTGTTAGTGTAATAGGCTTTCAAGCGGGAGGCATGGGTTCTAGACATATCACGTCAATGTTAAAAAAAATGTCTTCAATTTTTTTTTAGATGTGAATGATAAATTTGACTATCTGAACTTGGCGGGATTCAGGGCAGATAAAGTAAAGCTCATCTGTTTCTTTGTCCTAAGCATATGAAGGAATAGTGTGGTCAGAGACATGCTCTGCCGGAATGGTTTTTTTAACGATAAAAACATGTTGTCTGAGACTTGGCGGGACACTGGGCAGGTGAAGTAGAATTTAGTAGGTCACCTGTGACGTCATATATGAAGGGATAGTGTTGTCAGACCTATGCTCAGCCGAAACCTTTTTTTTTTGAAAGATAAGAAACGTCTCTTTGAATATGGGGTCTGGTTATTTTGTGATGATAAGTGACAGACGTGATGTCATTTACGAATGATCCCCAAAACCCACAGTTATCCAAGGGATGACCGGGTAGTCTAGTTACATTTAAAATTTTTCTTTAAATGTACGCCTATATAGTTTTATTGGCATATATTATCATCTGATAACAAAAGTGATGGAAGTTTGAAATGTTTTTTTTATATCGTTAATTTAATATTATCTCGCAAAATTATGTTATTATTTATTTCTGTTTATATTTTAAATGTCTCCGTACATTATTACAGGGACCAAAAGATGTAACCTTTCAATGGAAGTTTGGCAGCAGGTTAAGTAATTTTAACAGTTTTACACCATATTCTGTACAAAACGCGACGTCAGTTGCTGAACCTGTGCTGGTCAGCTCTGGGGCAACCTGTGTCCAGTATATTCATTCGTCAACACTGAAGTTTCAAACAGAAGAAAAGTACGACGGCTACACGTATGTGTGTGTGGCTACAGAAAACAACAAGAACACAATTGTTGGGAATATGACGTTGTACACTAAAACAGGTATTTTGATGTTACTAAGATAATATTAAACATGATAAAAAGTATCTTTGAAAAGTTCTACATCAGGTAAATCAAATTAATTTTATATCAAGAGTTCTGAATATGGCTAATAGAAATTCATAAAAAACGTTTTAATTACAAGCTTTTATTTAATAATGCACTAAAATGAGAAAATAGAAGAATTTCTTTAAACATGAAAATGAGCTACTATTTAATTAACTAAAAAGAAAAGCGTTGGTCTCTATAATATGTATTTTATACATTACTTTTTCTAGAATTAAAGAAGCGACCCACGCTTTTCTTTTTAGTTATTTAAACAGTGGCTCATTATTGTTGTTAAAGAAAATCATTTTTTTTTCTACATTTAAGTCCAGTATTACTTAAACACTTGTTATTTAAACGTTTTTTATGAATTTTTTTTTCAGTATGTCTACTTTAAAATGTTTAATACAACAGATTTTAATAACTAAAAACGATTGCGCCAAAATGATTACGATAAAGCGCGTATAATAGTGCGGAATAGTTTCAGGTCTGTGTACTCATATTAGAAAATTTTCAAGCGTGCCTAGCAGCCCCCTCTCTTCCTCTCTAAGCATATCCCTACCACCCCCACCCTCACATGGTCTGGTGAGCTGTGGTTTACGCTAAATGTTTACAATCATAGAGCCGGGTTTAGTGACGGCTATTAAGGGCAGATAATTTAGTTTGAAACGATTTTAAACTTAGGGGAGGTAACTAAGAGAAGACTGCTTTCACGAAAGGTGTAGGGGTTGGGGAAAGGAGGTTGGTTTGGGGTGGTTTTCGTCCTTAACGACCTACTGATAGTGTTTTAAAGCAAATATTTTCAGTGGCAGCATTGGTACTGTCGAATTTACATATTATGAATTACTGAAAAGTAGAAAATAAAACTCGGCTCGTATTTATAATTCTCTTCGTGGAGACTATAGAAAACACCACGCAGCTTAGCCACCACCCTCATCCACATCTGTGGTTCACCCAGAATGTTTACAATCGTAGAGCCGGGTCAGCTATTAGGTGTGGGGGTGGGGAGGGAGGGTGAGGATAATCGTCTTTACCGGCTACTGATATTGTTTTAGAGCAAAATATTTTCAGTCGCAGTATTGGTAGTGAAGAAAATAAAACAACTAAACAGAGACGTACGCTTCGGCGCGGGTCAGCTCGTATTTCATAATAGGCTTACTATTTATTTCATCTTTGTATAAAATTGTTTGATTAGCGTAAATTATTTAAACATAGACTCTAAGAGTTGCAATATTTCCAGGGAAACAGTCCCCTTATACAAGGTAAAGATGACCACATTATTTATTACATTTTGTTTTATTTTTCAATCGTTACACATTTTATTTTTTAAATTTATTATGATTTTAAATAAATAGCGCCCGAAGTGTGTAATACAAAATTATTTGATAATGGTTGGATACAATTGAGCAGCATCATTATGTAGATACATTTAGATAAATGTTTTATTAAATGCACTGTTATCGAATAAAACTGGACTAGTTAGCAAGCTCATGTTATTTTGAATATTCATTTAATGACAACATATACAAACTAATATGTTTCAGCTGCTTTGTCCTAGAACTACTTAAAGTTAATTTTTCTTCTGCTAGTCAGCCACTTAGTGAAACCCTCGTCAACCCAAAAGCAGTTGATGTAGGAGGATCATTCACGGTGACATGTGACGCTTCACGTGCTGGCGTTCCAACAAATGCAACGACAATTTTAAGCCTGACTGTTGCAAGGAGAGATGGCGAAAAAGAGCCAATAACTTTAGCGAGATACAACACGCTTACCTTCCCATACGAGTCATCAGTAAGGAATTACTTATACAATTATATCATATTTTTTGGAAACTATCTTTAAAAATTCAACTTCTTGTCGAATTTTGCCATATTTTAATATGTTATGATATATCTTTTTAGTTTGTAAGTTAATTACTTACAATGTTTTCTATTACAGCTTTAATATGATTTTTTAATTTAAAAAAAAACAACTGACACCTCTCTCTCTTTTTCTCTCTCACACACTCTCTTCTTCTTCTTCTTCTTCTTCTTCTTCTTCTTCTTCTTCTTCTTCTTCTTCTACTACTATTTCTCTCTGGCAAATTTATAACCTCGATTGCAAATTGTCTATTGTAACTGTTTTTAATTTTAATTATTTTTATATTACTATGCTTAGTGGCTAATAGTTTTAAGGAATTATAATGAAAGACTTTGGAGATGTAATCAATTGAACAGACCAGATATTCTTGCTTTTATTTTTTCTTCAATCTTAATTTTTGTGTTAGAAAGTATCCTTTCCAACACATCTGAGTATTACGTGTCAACTTGTTATGCGCCATATAGGTTTTTGACTCTGATTTCAACCTGTTTTTCTTTTTGGATTTGCTTCCATAGTCTTTCTTCAACTAAGAACCAAACTACAAGTCAGCAGTTGTTTGGTTTTAGAGTTCTTTTTTGCTAAAATTGTTTATGTCCCAATCTTTCGAGCATCATCTGCACAGGGTTTCGATCTAAGGACTTTTCGGATTAGCAACCATGCTCTTAACAGACTCCCAATTCCGGCTCTAAAAATCTCGATTCAACAGAATGAAATCACTTTAATCTGCTCATAGAAGGAATCACTTAGCCTTCCTAACTTATATAAAAGATTCGATCGTAAACACAAACGCAAACATAAATACAAACGCAAATACAAATTGCAAATGCAAACCTAAACGCAAACAATACCATAGAAAATAATGTAAAATTAACGCGAACATACACGCTTAATGCTCAAAGTATAGACCAGGCGCCACATCGCATCTTGTCGGGGCGCTGGCGGACCAGCCTGATTCAGCTTAGTAAACGATAATAATACCCCAACTTATCAATAGTTAATTGCACTCACCTGAACGAACGTAGGCACCATAGAACTCACAGAAAGGCCTGGGGCGTCAAATAGCACCCTATTTGGGCGCTGGAGGCAGTGGCGTAGCTACCGTAAAGCTAGCGTAAGCAAGGCTTAGGGGCCCGAGGCAAATAGGGGCCCTTTACCCTCTTTAAATTTTTAAAAACTTTTACAAATGGGTGTTTAATATTTGTATAATAAAAATAATTATAAAAAGAAAACGAAAATCCTGTTTCTTTTCTACGATACGAGTAATCAAAAGTTCCAAAAAAGGGTTCCAAACCTTTCTTACTGGGGAGGGTTTGTACAGGGCCCGTCGGTATTAATAACACTATAGGCATTGTTGCATTGTCTGGCAAGCCGTTGAGAGAATTAGCCTATAAATAAATTTGAACAATTGACTCTTTTGTGAGATTGGCATCCGTCACCCGCAAATTTATACGCATCGTTAAAAACTCTCTACCCCAACGCCACAAACCTGCATCTCAACTCTCAGTCCTCACCGAAATTCCATCCACCCATGATTACGATTGAGCCATTTTTTTAAAAAATATCAGCCGTGGAAAGTGTTTTCACAACAAGCTGAGTCGAATATTTGTCAATGTTTTTCTGTTGGTTTTAACCTTAAGCACAATGTGTTTGTTGATCTAATTTATCTCTAATCAATATGCCGCTACTTCAAGTTTTTTGTTTGTCTGTCTCCTTATCCTTTAAGCATTAATACTAAAATGATCCAATCACCAAGAAACATAGGGAAGTCGTTTAGAATAGTTCAGACAACCCTTAACTGAAGGTGAAATTTCCTAACACAACCCCACACATGAGGAGCAGTCCCACCACCCTCGAAAAGAAGCCAGAAAGAAACTCTAAAGTTTTCTGCCATTAAACATTTTTAAAAATTTCGTTCGGGGAGCGGCCCCTGGACAGTAAGGCGGTTCTGTTTGTCCCTCAGATTTTCACAGCAGCTTTCTTAGCACCTGGGGTCACTTAATTGGGCGTCCTGCTCAAGGGGTCAGGGTCATTGCGGAATTCAACGGTCAAACTGCACATGTGCATCAGCCGGCGCCCCGGTCTCCCCCGTGAGCACTACGGCGCATACATTTGTTTCAATGAGCGCCATGCCCTAGAGATACGGAGGGCTACCATAATCAATGACTAAAGAAAATAAAGGGTGTCCTCCAGCCGCATCGACAGTAGTATACGATTAGGTGCCCCGAGTCTCTCCATTATTATGATGTCATGAAACAAGTTGCAGATATGCCCTTTGGGTCAGAAACTTGGTCATCCTAAGTATCGAACACACAGGAGCAGCTAAAATGGACTTCAAGGAACATATTAATCATTTTGCAAATTTATAAGAAAGAAAAAAATCTATATAAATCATAAGCAGCTTTTTAAAATTCGTGTTTTGTTAGTGGCGTCACAAGGTTCGATATCATCCGGTGCGTTTAGTGAGTGTAACCTCACCACGTTCAATAATTTTGCATTTTCGGTGGAGCGTTACCCCCTCTCCTTAATATTGTATTACTATAACTGAATAAAACATAGTTTTGACACTAAATGTGACGAATTTTCGTTATGGTGTCACGCCTAAATTGTGAGGCCCCTGCCCTGTGACGCTACTGTGTTAGGTTACTTAAATGTCACTGGCTTACAGTTAATTTGTAGGTTTGTTTTTACATAAAAGTGATATAACATCAAAGGTATTTTACGTTACGGGTACTACATAATAATAACGTATAATTACACAATTAGGACGTAAAAAATACACAATTTACAGATAGACGAAGGGGCCCAATAATAATTTTTGCATAGGGGCCCGAAAATCCTAGCTACGCCACTGGCTGGAGGACGCCCTGGATTCAATTTAGTGAAGGACTAAAATAACCCTTTTTGTCCACAGCTTATCGCAGTCTTTAAAACGAAAATGTGCACCATAGCTCTTACATCTAACATTTTGCGGGACGTCGGCGGACGCGCTTGATTTAAATTAGTGAATAAGTATAATACCCCCAGCTTGTCCGCAAACTGAAAAATAGACGTTAATATAGAAGACATTTAAGAGCGGCTTCTAAACTGATATTAATTAAAAATAATAATTTATAAACGGGAAGTTAAAGGTAGAAAATAAATAAAATGCATTATTTAAAATATCTGTGTTTTATCTACCACATTGCTCTTTATCAATCCAAGCTAATTATATACGTATTTTTTCCCAACATTAAAAAAACAAACTAATAAAAAATATTTTTTTTCCCAATTGTAATATTTTTTAAGGGAAGTAATTTGTGTGTGTGATCTATCAAGGGAAGTAATTAGTTGTAAACTGGATAAGGGAAGTAATTTAAACACTTTTTTCAGACATAATTAAAATTTTGTGAAGGGTGATTTATTTATATCGATGTAGCTGAGCCACCCAGATTACGGTTCGGTGGCTAAAAGAAAACTTGGGCCCCCACCCTTTACAGCCAAGTCGACAGCCATCTCTATCGATCAATCGTAATAAAATGGACCAGACGTCTTCGACACTACTTTTACCAGAAAATACAATGGCCAACAAAACCTTCCTGGTCACAAATTACGCACCGCTCTCCCCACAATCAACCCCGAAGCAGGTCTACCGTCCCTTACTACAAAAACATAATTTATATACAAAATATACTTTAACCAGTCTCAGCCCCCCCCCCCCCCCACTCTACCCCCTCCAAAGAACATTTAGTCCTCCCCACGAACATTTTAAGTACCCCCTCCCTATTCATTGGAGGAAAAAATCTGAAAGAAACACTAGTCGCATTTGTAGATAATATAGACTAAAAGTAAACCCTACCTTTATAATCGAAACCTGTTTCCTACTTTTGACCAGCTATAAAGAAAAACCACACGCAGACACCCTTCAATGTTCCTATATGTTCCATGTAACGTCACGTTTCGTTTTCCTTTCTACTATGAAAGTTTTTACTTAGCTTGTGCTTTCTCTATATTCTTCTGAATGAGAGATAGACAGAGAGACGGGGTGACAGAATAAGAAATAATTACTATAGACGAGATAAATGGCCTTAACGACTATAACGCCCCACCTTATTAATAGTCTATCGCACTGTTTAAAACGAACGTAGGTTCCAGAGCGCACACAGAATAACACTGGGAGTCAAATTGCATTCTACCGCGCAGCACGCCAAGGGACGTGTTTTTTTTTATCTATCAAGAAAATAATTGGTGCTAAAGGACTAAGGGATGTAATTTTTATACACAATTTTTCGTGAAGGATAAAACATTTTCTTTACTTTAGTTTGGGAAATGAAATGTGTTTTTCAAAGCCATCAATATTATTTTTTAAAAAATCATTTATTTAGGGACATTTCAAGAGTATTACACTATGGCAGGGGTCGGCAACCTTTTGAGACGGAAGAGCCAAAAGATGCAATTTACAAAATTTACCTGTTTTTACAGAGCCACTAACATTTTTTCTCAATATTTAGGATTAGGTTTATATATATATATATATATATATATATATATATATATATATATATATATATATATATATATATATAAAATTTAAATAAATAGCTTTAAATATGAAATAATATTTATTCATATTTTTAAAAATGCGCATGTTTCGCACAAAGCATAGTATAGTATTTTAGCTAGCTCTGCTAGAATAATAACATTAGTAATCATAAAATATAACTATAATCATTGAATATTTACATTAGTTACATAAATGTGAGCATTGACCGTTTGAAAGTTTGTTTAAATCTGGCTCATAACTTCTTGTTTCAGGAGGTTTCAAGCACGCCTCTAGATTTTTAGTTGTTAGTTGGCTTCTTACTTAACTTTTTATTGTATTCATGTAAGAGAACTCTTGCTAGCACGAATATGTTGACCTAAAGATCGTTAGCACTTCAGATGTTAACTTCTCCACGTTACTGTACCATCCTGCAAGACTATTCCATGCGTCACGTATGAGTGCCTCAACTCGCGATATTTCTTTTACAGCTGTCCAGTTGTGCAGCGTAACGTGCATGTTTTACTGGACCTTCAACTATTTTTGCTTGCTCTTTAGATCTATGAATTTCCGCTCCACAAATGAGTCGTTTTCAAATCCTGCAATTGCATTTGAAGCGAACCAGCATCAATTCCAAATAGTTCAAAGTTAATCTCATTTGTTTTTGTGTAGAGAGAGTCTACTACGAACGTCAGAGTACTTGCATTTGTTTTGAATTGCTCAAATCTCTTAGTGAATCCATCCTTCGTTTTGTTTGTTGTAATGCTGAAGCAATTCATGCTAATAGTTGCATTGAGTTCTAGATACTTTTTTTCAGCTTTTTTCGAAATTTACCGCTATCCGTGTCTTCAACAAAAATTTTTTTTTCGAAACATCCACTTCTCAAGCAAGGCATAGGCTGAGTTTTCGTTTTCTTGCAGTTTTACGTTTAGCTGGTTTATTTTCTTTGTGATATCTACCATGAAGTTGAATAATTCAATTCGGGATGAACAGTTTAATAGGAAGTACATTGAAAATATAGGGAGTACCTAAATATTCTAATAGAATAGCGAATGTTTAATGTTTATGTTCATGATTATATAATTTATTACAGAGTGTTGCAAGACGATATTTTTTATGAGTTTTGAAAATAAAATAAAACAATTATTAATATTTGTGCATGGGGCCAAAAAGCCGCATCTTGACATCAAAAGAGCCGCATGCGGCTCGCGAGCCGCAGGTTGCCGACCCCTGCACTATGGCGATCAAGCCGAGTTTTTTACAATAAGCATGTGTGCCACAGAATCCATATGAGCTATATAATATATTAAAAACATAAGTATATATATATATATATATATATATATATATATATATATATATATAGTCCTATTATATACATATATACATATATATACATATATATACATATATATATATATATACACACACACACATAAATAAATAAATATATATATATATATATATATGAGGGTATGTGAGTGTATATTGTGGTATATAATTATATACCATTAAAACAAAATTTTAAATTTAAGATTCCACCAAAAACATCACATGGCGGTAAAAAAAGGTTTTATTTCTCTGGACGGATTAATAAAACATCTGACAGACTAAATAACAGAAACACAATGATGATGAACATGACGGTCAACGATGCTGGATGTCCAGACGATGGCGTGTATATTTGTACTGCGATATACTTCAATTCAAATAATGATGTTTTAATGAGAGTCGGTATCAGAGTCTTACAATTACAGGCGAGTTAAAATACACAGATGTCATTTCAACCTTACGATTTGTTGTTAGTATAAATTTACATTTCAATATTACGTCTTTATCGATTATATCATATATTCAAATCTTTTAACAGCTCGCCTTGTTCCAGTGTCAATTATTTTATTTCCACGTGGTAATGAACTATCAGGTAGGCCTACATGAAAAATTTGCATAATTAAATAGTCAATTTAAAAAAAAGTATTGAGTTTTACAGCTACTTAAAGTACAATATCCATATGTTGCTGGTGTATTGCAACAAGCTTTTCGCGTTGACATAGTTGGGAGCATTTTAGTGTTAAAAGGATTAAAATATACATGACTATACAAGATAAGATACTATAAGATACTATAAGAGCGCACCAATTTGCCGACAAACGAGCGCCGACATAAGAGCGCAAACTAAAGATCGAAAAACCATACTTAATAAATAGGAACAAGAAAATTAACTCAGATCAGACGTCATCGTTTGAAGCTAACTCTTTATTGTTTCATTAAAAAACTAATTGTTCAGTTTCTTTAACTAAAAAACTGATATAATCAACATGAAGTCGAATTATTCTAAACGCAACGTAGTAACACAAACAAAGATTTTAAAAGTTAGGCCTAAAGTGAGAATATAAACTGAAATGAATTATAATAAAATGAAAATAATTTCAGACTAATAAAATGTTTCTTTATAGCTGCATTTATAATGCTGAGTTGTGAGCTATACCCCGTAGGTAGTCCATCATTGAATCATTAGCATAGGTCGAAGCAATCGCTTGCAATCTTCGGTTCAGCTGAACATATCTGTTCTTTGAAGATTCTGGTTGATTAACTCCAACTAGATGACGTTCCAGTTCGATTTTGATGTGATCTTGTACCAGACGAAACTGGTTGATGAACTCCAGGATTGTACTCTGTATAGCCAGGCAAGAGGCAGACACTGGCCCCAGCCCACCCCACTCAGGGAAAAATTATATGGGACACCTGACAAACTGGAAACCACAGTCCGGTTTGCCCATGAAGTTGGACTTGTTGTCTAATTCCTCCACCATAATCAAAAATTAAGAACGAAGAAAAAAGACCGTTTGTTGGAATGCGCGATGCCATCCCTCGACTGAGTTGTTTGTTCGTGGTAGATTTTCAGAGACACGATTATGGACATTCCAAATAGGTTTCTCCTTCGCCTCCCTATGTAACTATCCTCCCAATAATCTACCAGTGGCATAATTTCTGCAGGACTAGCTTCTGCTAAATCCTTATGTCGGCGCTCATTTTTCTGCGCTCTTATGTCGGCGCTCTTTTGTCGGCGCTCTTTTGTCGGCGCTCTTTGTCTGCGCTCTTATGTCGGCGCATTTTTGTCGTGCGCTCTTTTGACGGGTCACCATACAGACAACAGTTTGTTGCTTATTTTACCTCCTATGGGAAACAAAAAAGGTGAAATAAGAACGTTTCAGTCTCAATGAAAATGTACTTAAATTATCATGTTTACACACTTAACTACTCGTCCCCACGCGCACACACACGTACGTACGCACATCCACACACACAGGCACGACTGCAAAACTAAAATAAAATTTCGAATCTGTTAGTTTATAAAGCTTAGGAAAAATAACATTAAATCTAGATTTAGAGTTTTTCAGGATTATATTTATACCAGATAAATGGCCCGTTTAAGGTGAAAAACAACGGGCGCTAGATTGATAGATTTATCTCTAAACCGAAACCAAAATCACCACCTCAACTTCAATTTTAATTGGAAACGAAAATTTCACTGAAATCGCATTTTTATCCAGATTCGGCAATTTAGCCGAAATGAATCAGCTAATAACACTAACCTTAATCCTGATACTAACGCTTACTATGTATATTACTTTATCGGTATTTTTTGTATATCTACATTCAATTCTAAAATGAAACATTATTATTAAGTATCGATTCTTAATTCTTTATTTGATTTAACAATCAATGTCGCCATTGTAAAATTTGTATCACAATACTTAGTCTGGTAAATTTGTAAATTGGTCAGGGGTAGGGGGGGGGGCGTAGACATTTTATGGCGGGAAAGGGGGCCTAACAAGAGATGCCTGAAAGAAACACTTCATGCAAACCACTTTTAAGATTAGACAAATAAAATTGAATGGTAATGGTAAATCTTTTTTAACCTACCAACTTGGGTATAGAACAAAACAAAACACAACACACCAACCAGATATAACAACACAAACACAACACAAACACAATACAAACACAATACAAACACAACACAAACACAACACAAACACAACACAAACACAACACAAATACAACACAAACGCAACACAAAAACAACACAAACACAACACAAACACAACAAAAACACAACACAAACACAATACAAACACAACACGAACTCAACACAAGCACAACACAACACAAACACAACAGAAACACAACAGAAACACAACAGAAACACAACAGAAACACAACACAAACACAACACAAACACAACACAAACACAACACAAACACAACCACAACACAAACACAAACACAACAAAAACACAACACAAACACAATACAAACACAACACAAACACAACACAATCACAACACAAACACAAACACAAACACAACACAAACACAACACAAACACAACACAAACACAACATAAACACAACACAAACACAACACAAACACAACAGAAACACAACAGAAACACAACACAAACACAACACAAACACAACACAAACACAACACAAACACAACACAAACACAACACAAGACAACACAAACACAACACAACACAAGCACAACACAACACAACACAAACACAACACAAACACAACACAACACAACACAAACACAACACAAACACAACACAAACACAATACAAACACAACACAAACACAACACAAACGCAACACAAAAACAACACAAACACAAACACCAACACAACAAAAACACAACACAAACACAAACACAAACTCAACACAAACACAACACACACACCACAAACACAACACAAACACAACACAAACACAAACACAACACAAACACAACACAAACACAACACAAACACAACACAAACACAACACAAACACAACACAAACACAACACAAACACAACACAACACACACAAACACAACACAAACACAACACAAACACAACACAACACAAACACAACACAAACACAACACAAACACAACACAAACACAACACAAACACAACACACTTAAACACAACACAAACACAACACAACTTAAACACAACACAAACACAACACAAACACAACTTAAACACAACACAAACACAACACAAACACAACACAAACACAACACAAACACAACACAAACACAACACAAACACAACACAAACACAACACAAACACAACACAAACACAACACAAACACAACACAAACACAACACAAACACAACACAAACACAACACAAACACAACACAAACACAACACAAACACAACACAAACACAACACAAACACAACACAAACACAACACAAACACAACACAAACACAACACAACACAAACACAACACAAACACAACACAAACACAACACAAAACAACACAAACACAACACAAACACAACACAAACACAACACAAACACAACACAAACACAACACAAACACAAACACAACACAAACACAACACAAACACAACACAAACACAACACAAACACAACACAAACACAAACACAACACAAACACAACACAAGCACAACACAAACACAACACAAACACAACACAAACACAACACAAACACAACACAAACACATCACATACATAACACAAACACAAACACAACACAAACACAACACAAACACAAACATAACACAAACACAACTCAAACACAATACAAACATAACACAAACACAACACAAACACAACACAAACACAACACAAACACAAAACAAATACAACACAAACACAACACAAACACAACACAAACACAACACAAACGCAACACAAACACAACACAAACTCATTACAAACACATCACAAACACAACACAAACACAAACACAACACAACACAACACGAACACAACACAAACACAACACAAACACAAACACAACACAAACACAACACAAACATAACACAAACACAACACAAACACAATACAAACATAACACAAACACAACACAAACACAACACAAACACAACACAAACACAACACAAACACAACACAAACACAACACAAACACAACACAAACACAACACAAACACAACACAAACACAACACAAACACAACACAAACACAACACAAACACAACACAAACACAACACAAACACAACACAAACACAACACAAACACAACAAAAACAAACACAAAAGAAAACACAAACACAATGCAAACAAAACACAATGCTAACAGAAATGAAAACACAAACGCAGCACAGAAACACAAAAAAACACATAAATTTGCATTAACATTTTGCTAATTGTATTATTGCAACAATAATTCCTTCTTGTATGTCCGTAGATTTCGCATTCACATTTTTTTCAATAGCGTGAGTTGAATTTATTTTAAATTACCTCCCTTGGATAATTACAAAACAATTTGATTAATTCGTTTGTTCGACCCTATAATTATTAAAATGTATCCACTTTTTATAGGAATATAAACGAAAATGTTATTTGACATTAATCCTTATAATGTTTTAGCAATGTGCGAGTGCAAAAGAGTAAACACGGGGGTAACTATAAGACAATTTAAGTCGTTATATAAACAAACTCTTCTATATATATATATATATATATAATTCTCTTCTTGCAGTCGTCAGGAAACAAGCTGCAAGCACGCCTTGCAACCCCCTCTCTTCCTTTCTAGGCATATCGCAACCACCCCCACCCCCACATGGTCTGGTGAGCTGTAGTTCACGCTAAATGTTTACAATCATAGAGCCTGGTTTACTGATGGCTATTAGGGGCAGATAATTTAGTTTGAAACTAGTTTAAACTTAAGTGAGGTAACTTCATGGAGACCATAGAAAACCCCTCGCAGCTTAGCCACGACCCTCATCCCCACCTGTCAGGTTACTCATCCGCTCTCCAGGCAAATCGCTACCACCCCCACCCCACCAATCTGATGAGCTCTGCTTCACAACGAATGTTTACAGTAGTAGAACCGGGTTAATGACGACTATTAGGGGCAGATAATTTAGTATTAAACTATTTGAAAGGAAGGGGAGGTAACAATCTTTTTTTTTGTCTGTAAACAGCTGCTCTCGCTGGGCGAAGGGGCGTGGGGAGGGAGGGCGGGAAGACGGGCTGGGGGAGGTAGTGCAGGAGGGGAGGATAGTGTTGAATTCACAAATTATGAATTTCTGATAAGCAGAAAATAAAACAACTAGATTGCGCCGTATGCTTCGTTGCGGGTCAGGTCGTTTGTTTATATTAGCAATGAAAGAAAGTTTAGTTAATAATCATTACTTATTAATATTCTCAGCTTTTTGAAACCCGTTTAGTATAAATATGTAATTAGTTTATTTTTATTTTTGTGTGAAGTTAGAGAACGGGAGAAAATTAAAGTTTAAATTTTTGTCGCAGTTACTTTTCTTTAATATGAAAAGCAGGGTGCTCAAGCAAGTCAATTGTCACTCTTAATATTTATGTAAAAATAATTTAATTTCAATAGACAGTGCCGCAAGTTCCCCCGTTAATACTATTGCGCCTACGTTCTTTTTAAAGATTTCGATACAATAAGAATAAGATAGACTACTATAATCGTTCACTGCAGCGCCTATGTTCCCCCGTGAGCAATATGTCCAAGTAATACCGCAACTGCTTATTTTGCATTTAAAAACTAGAAAACGAGGCCCCGCTGTAAAATCCCTTGGTCAACTTGGAATATGATGGTGACACTCATCACTTATACACCGCATTCAATAACAAATACAGTAATATGTTAGAGCCCTATCTTTGATAGGCGACATTTATTAATCAACAATGTAGTAGGCGTACATACAACGACAACCAATTGTTATTTTATAAACGAAGATTTTAACACAAGCAACAGTAAAACATAGACGCCGAACACAATATATTTGCATGCATTTCTCTGTTATTTTATTTAGTTATTCATAATTATTTTTTCTTGTTTTAATTAATTTTTATTTTTCAATAAAGGCGACACATACCAATATCTGCTCCAGAGGGGAGCGTATCTACCCCAAAAGTGGCAATTGGAATTTACTGAGGGAGAAAAGGTCAATTTAAAGTGTTTTGTTAAAGTAAGTTCAGTAAATAAATGAAAAAAATTGCGTGAACACAAAATTAAAATCAATAACAGTAATATGACATTTACTTAATTTCCCGATAAAGTTAAGATTCGTAACGAATTTAAATAGAGTTTTTTTGGTGACTAAAGTAAAACGTGTGTGTGTGTGTGTGTGTGTGTGTGTATGTGTTAATTCATAGCTTATTTCTTTTATTCCCATACTTCACAGTTTAACATGGTATTTCTTACGTATTCTGAGCAAACATAAAAGTTGATAAAAATTATATTTTAACTGTAGATATATGTTTGTTCTTTTGTATTTAGTACTGTATAATTGCAGGGATCTAGCAATGTAAACATCCAATGGAGGTTTGGCAACAAGGAAAGTAACTTTAGTAGCCTTATATCGTATCCTGACAAAAACGCTGTAACAATTGGCAAACCTGATTTAATCGATTCTGGGACAACCTGTGCCAGGTACCTTCATTCGTCGACACTGAATTTTCAAACAGAATACAAGTATGATGACTACACGTATGTGTGTATGGCTATAGAAGACAACAGAGAAACAATTGTTGCTGGTATGATGATACGCGTAAGAGAAGGTACATTTAATTTACTGCACTGGCTTATAACCAAGAATATATTAATATAATATATTGTTATATTTTATTAGATTTACAAATTATCACTATTTTTATTACTTATCTTTCATTCAGAAGGTCATCGAAAAAACTATTCGTAAAGCATTACTATTTTAAGGGGGTAGGTTCTGGTAAAACATTAATTACCAGAGAGCAAACACATTTTTTTCTCTATAACTTTTTAAAGGTACAACCGAATTCGCAATATTTTATCAATGTTGGAAATCCTACAAAGAGCTTAATTTTTCAAGCTGACCGCCTTTGTCATACTTACCAAAAATCTTTGCCAATTATTTTTTTTAGCGGAAATGCATTTACGGATGTACCTTATAAAAGCGGTAGAGAAAAAAATGTTTTCTCTCTAGTATTAAAAATACAAAATACAAAATCAATTGATTTTATTGAAATTACAGAGTTACGTCTAAAACCTGTAAGGTATGTATGACATCAGTGCCAATAGGAGTGTAGTGAAAACATTCCTTACTTAAACCCCTCGAAATAAACCCCTGAAAAAAACCTCAGGGACACAACAACAACATACACTAAACCCTCGACAGAAACCAATATAAAATGTTGTTATATATATATAAATAAATAAATAAATAAATAAATAAATAAATAAATAAATAAATAAATATATATATATATATATATATATATATATATATATATATATATATATATATATATATATATATATATATATATATATATATATATATATATATATAAACCCGCAGAAAATGATATTTAATTTTTCGTCTTTTAAAATATTCATTTGTCTCAGTAATATATAAATATGGATGAGGGAGACAAATGTTTTATCTATACAATTTCAGGGCGACAGTAGAATGCTGGTATTTAATTTTTTAATTCAGATACCAAATGATATTTTTGAGGTAGAACCGCAATGAAAAAATCTTTTTTTTAGAAATATATTTTACAAAGTAAATTAATGAGAAATTCATTTTATTTTTAAAACTAGCAAGAATGATTTATCGTATTTTTTTTTCTTATAGTAAAGTCATAACAGCTGAAACTCAGGGATTTTGGCCTTGTAATGGCTATTGTCAATTTTGTTTTGTTACCGTTGAGCGTTATGTCAGAGGGTTTTATGTTTAGAGAGTTATTTGTCCGGTTTATATTCTCTTTCAAACTTAGAAAATTTATTTTGAATTACTAAACTATTCTTTTGCAATGTTTTGTAACAAAAGTATAGCTAACATACGTATTTGTGTTACTGTTTCGCCGCGTAATATATTTTGCCATTGTGGTTTTGAAAGATATATCGTAAAGTAGTTTGTGGTTGTTCTTTACCTAGTGTTAAATATGGATATTATTTATGATTTTTGCTAAAGTTTTAATGTTGTTGGAATACGACACTAGAGTGTATTTACTAAAGTTCAAACTTTAAAATCTTTAACCTTAGAATGACTAGTACTTAAAACCAACAGCCGTTTATTAATTTTAAAGAACAGTGCATGTAAAGCTTTGATTATTTGTGCAATTGGTTAAAGAAATACATTTGGTTTAGGTTATTTTATTACGTTTCATCCACACAAATTTATTTTGACATGATATTTTGTTCATGTTGATTTTTTAAATATTAGCTTTAACAAATACCTGTCATCTTATTAACTTACATCTTAGCATATTATTTACATTACTCAACCAATTTTATTTACAATATACGTTAGACAACTGTTCTATACAGATTGTTATTCGCTAAAACTTGAGTGTTTAACTGTTGTATAATATTGCGAATCTTTAGATGTATCAATCAGTCTGTTTTGGCATTTTCCATTTTTAAAGTAATAGATCCTTTTCAATTTTTAAATAAATATTTTATTACATTGGAAGTGACAGCGATACGATTGTTAACCCAAGAGAGGTTAAAGAAGGCGGATCATTCAACGTTACTTGTGACGCATCACGTGCTGGTGTTCCATCAAATACTAAAAACCTTCAAATATTATATATTGTATGGACGGGTGCATCGAATAATTCAGTATTATTAGCAAGATACTGGACCTACTCTACTCCATATGAATATAAAGTAAGTCAATTTTATGCAAATAAAAGGGATTGTGTGGCATACGGGCGGAATAGTTTTCTGAAGACTTCCATAAAGTATAAAACTTCGCTTCATTACCGTCCTGCTATTATTTAATTTTTTTTACTGTCTTCCTAAAATCAAACTGATGTCTAAAAAATTATATTAATCATTTCTAACATTTTAGGTTATTAACGTAAAGTAAAAGTTACATAATTAAGATAATCTTACTTCCTGCCATTAAAAAATTGTAGTTTTTTTCTGATAAAAATTTGACAATTTTTTTCCATGGATCGGGATAGATAACTACACAAAAAATATACAAATTACAAGAAAAATACTGATGGCTTTCTTTTAGTGTATTTCCATGCTCGAATTTTAATGGAATTGATAAAGGGTAAACCAAAAGTATTTGAGATACTGCCTAAATTTATTACAGAAATAAAATAATAATACGCTGCACGAGAGAATGGTGGTTAATAAAAATTCACCCAAAAGCACTAAGCAGAGAATAAAACGTTTATAAGTATAATTAAAAGGTTATTATGATCTACAACTGCGTTTCACGATGATTTAAAGCTACACCAAATTAAGTTTATTGTTGCAAGCGTCGCTAAGCGAAGACACGCCGATTTAGGTAGTACTTGTTTTGAAAATACAAAATATTTTTTACTTGAATATTATTCTAAATAAAATCTTGTATTGATGTTTACGTATACGTTTCAGGAAGTGGCATTCACATCCGGACTAAGTAGAGATTAAAACAATATAGGACTAAATCTAAACTTGTTTTGTGTCAGTTACATTAGTTTTCAATTAGTTTGTTAGTGTTGAACTACACCGAAAAGTGTTTTTTTTTAATGATGGATAATACTGCAACACCGAAACTACTAAAATTGCATTAGTATTTGTAACAGACTGTACTTCTTGTATGATTTTTTATATTGTATTTAAAATGAAGTTGTATGAAAGTAGAGTACCTGGCCAATGGAAGGACTGTGTGAGCGACTAATCATGTTTTTCCATGCTTTTTGTTAGATCGCTCACTGACATTAGGGGAGAGAATGTAGGGTATAAAAGGGGAGCGCAAGATATACTAAGTGCCTGTGCCTGTATAGAAAAATGTTGTAAGATGTCATCCCGTCACTCTGTTTCTGGATTGTATTATGATTATGATTGCTGTTATTTCACTATGGATTTTCATTATTAATTCCTATGGATTTATTTTATTAATGTGAATAAAGTTGTAAGTTGAAAGAACTGTTATTCGCATGCATTGAAGAAATCACAAAAGCACCGTATTGTCTCATTTACAAATGCGTATTGCTTCAGTATTGTTTCAGTTTTTGGTACTGAATATAGTGACACATCCACGGAAAATCTTTTTGCTGTATTTTGTGGGAATCATTCGTTTCATATTCACTATCCAGGACACATGGTGCCGACCATTTATTTGAAATATTGATCTTTATCTCGCTGTGTGTATCCATTAAGTATTGCGTCACATTAAATATATGCGTGTTTGTTAGCCTAATAAATTTGAACCTAGAACTTACTATTGTAAAAAATCATATTGGGTTCAAGTTTCTTAAACGCTAATTAAGTAAGGCAATTATTTTTTTTAAATATTATCATTACATATTCAAATTTTTCAAATGTTATATTGGCAATGAGACTTACACAATACAAAATAGTCTACTAAAATATATCCATTCATCCATCCATTCATTCGTTCATTCGTCCGTCCGTCCGTTCGTCCATCCATCCACCCATTCGTCCGTCCATCCGTCTATTCAATTCGTCTACCCTTGCAGCCTCTTTACCTGCCTCGCTTTTTCCTTCATCCCTATATCTGATTCTCCATGGTTGGGCGAATTGCGGCTCGCGAGCCGATTGCGGCCCACCACAGATTTTTTTGTGGCCCACCATAGATTCAGGAAACCCCGCATTAAACTGAGATTTGCTTCATGTCCGCGACCGAAAGTTTGTAACGTTGGTTTTTTTATTAGAGCGGCTATGTTAATGCGCATGCGCAGGCAGTGAAAATACCTACTTTCCCGGTTTGTCAGTTTTATTTCAGTTTTGTCTATGCACATGTAAAATTAAAACATTTCCAAATTACGTGAAGTCATGAACCCTACAAAAAAGCGTAAAATTGGTAATGAATCCCTTGTGCTTTATAAAGAATGGAAATACGTATGTTTTAGGTAACAGAGACAAGTTTTATCTATTGATTTTTGTGATACTATTTTTTAATTTTCTGAAATGAAATGTAATGCTAACTAAAGAATACAATTATTTTAAACGGTGCGGCCCTCCGCTAAAATCCGCTATACCACAAAGTGGCCCAGGAAGCAAAACCATGCGTTTCTCTATCCATTATCTATTCATACATACATCTATCTATCAATCAACCAGTCTCTCCTTCCATCCGTTTAGTTTTGAAATATTTTTTTTTTAGTTTAAACCGTATTCTCTACCCGAGAGGAACTGGAGTTTTAATTTTGTTGGAAACAACAGAAACACAATGAAAATTGAAATAATTGTTCAAGACGCTAAATGTGCAGATGCTGGATTGTATGTTTGTAGAGCTTCAATCGATAACAACTTGTTTTTCATTGGCCACCAGAATCTCAGTATTGTAGGTAAGTCTGGCATCCCCAGTCTGTCCACTATTCTCATGCCTGGAATGATGTATTTTTACGATCTTCGGAATTTATTTATATAGCTAAAATAGAAATTTGTAAATTTATTGAAACAATTTCGTTACACAACTTGCTATTGAACGTTTGAATTTAGACATAACAAATATGATGCATGATTTAATTTTAGAGTTTACAACAGCAGATCTTTGATAACATTTTTGTGTATTTGAAAGTTTTAATTTCTGAAAGTTTAAAACTATTTTTGTAAATTCATGTTTATTTTTTTTTACATAAGATCAATAAATTCGTTTTTAAAAATAGCAATTAAAGATATTTTGTTTTTGCTCACAACCATAAATTAATATTATTTTATTGCTTCTTACAATCTTTGAACAGCCCAAGTAGTTCCTGTGTCCCTGACTTTAGTTCCCCAGAATGCCAACGGACGGGGTCCATACGAGTCGGTCAATCCTGCAGGGTCTAATGTTACTTTGTTTTGTAATGCCACTGTAAGTATTGCCATTGTTTTCTCATTTGTTTATAACAAACGAATAACTGAAATGCAAGTATTTGTGCCGGAGCTAGAACAGTTAAATATGTTCTATTTCCTGTGATTTTTTTTCCGTAGCTTTATTAAGCAAAAAAAACTGTAAGTCAATTGGGTAAAGAAGGATTCTCGAGTCACGGACTTGTGTTGCCGTCAAAAGAGGTCACGAGTCAAAAAAGGGAACTGTTTAAAACGACTAAATTAATGGTGGCGGTCCTAATTAAAATTGTAGATCTAAAGGTCAAATCGTGACGTGGTTAGGAGAGGGAGGGGTGGCGGCCAACCAGGGCGTCAACCCTTAATGGGCGGCAGAAGAGTAGACAAATAAATTAAAAAAGCGCATTTAAAGCAGCAGTATTGAATTATACACAGTCAATGTTAAAAAAATTTACAGCTTTAATGATGTACATACTGACAAGTAAAACAGACTAGGGTCGGAGATGGTAAATGGGAAGGCGAGACTGTTTTGTCGAAATTTATTAAAAAAATACAACAATGATTTTTTAAATTCCTAATTACCTGATTTTGGAGTTGTCTCTTCTAGACGAGTTGCTGTCCCGAGCTATCGAGCCTCATTTGCCCGAGGTTCGAACTCGAGACTTTTTGGTTCAGCAACCAATAAATTAACTGATAAGACCACGGCGTTCTCTTATTTTGTTCTTTCCTTATTATTATAGAAACCATGATTTATTGCAGGGACCAAAGAACGTGACCTTTCAATGGAAGTTTGGTAGCAGATTAAGTAACTTTAGCAGTTTTACGCCATATCCTGTACAAAACGCTGTGTCAGTTGCTGAACCTGTGCTGGTCAGTTCTGGGACAACCTGTGTCCAGTATATTCATTTGTCAACACTGAAGTTTCAAACAGAAGACAAGTATGATGGCTACATGTATGTGTGTGTAGCTACAGAAAACAACAGAGACACTATTGTTGGGAACATGACGATATACTCAAAAAAGGTATATTTATATCGATTAAGTATTTATTAATTTTATGCTTTAACTGAACGGAAATAAAAATTCCATACAATAGAATATGATTTTGATAAATATTATAGAATTGTTTGCAATACATAGTTTATTAAATTAATCATTAAAAATTGACTATTCACACTTTTTAAAATTCAGGAATTTAAAAGTCTTTTATAAACGAACATTTTTATTCAGATTAATTTAGTTAGTTCGATTCCTTACATTTATTATTAAACTATGCTTCTAATTATTTCAGTGAAATTGGTGACATTGCAGGAGACTTTGAATAACGCTTGATGAACTTTCTCTTGAACACAAAAGTAGTCTAAATAATGATGCTAGTTGATTAAAGCATACACGTTATTATTCGGAATTTTGTTTTGTTTGCGTGTTATTGTAAAAGTAACATTTCGAATTAACGCTATAGGCCTACATAGTATGGATAAAACTATGAGAGTGTCTCCCTACGAGATAACTAAGGATGTTTATCGTACTCCCCTGCATCCCCTTGTACCAGAATACAGCATAATGCGTTACCGGCAATCGTTGATTTCAGTTGAAATGAGTTTTTTAAAATTGTTTTTAACTTGTCCAAGCGTTGTTGTATTCGCAATAAACGCTAATTATTCGAGTCAATGTGGGTTATAAATTAAGGTATATTAGAGTTTGTTTGGTTAGAGTGTAGCTTGTCGAAGGCGCAAGCTTATTTGGTCTACTTGTGGTCGTGTCTTTAAAACAATTTCGATAATAGTATATTTTAGTTTTAAATTAAAAACAACAAAGCAATACAGTGTTATACTGTTTATATATTGTTTAGTAGGTCTCGTGGCCTTAACTGTTAGACCCTTACAGTATTAGTACTTGTTATGAATGAAGCAATCAAAAATGATCTATTCGGTACAATATACTATTATTCTTGGCTCTTAAAATTTCGGCAAAGAGTATCACCTTCCACCCTTTATGTTTATGTTTCAAATATTGTGGTATCAAATACTCTTATCGAAAATTTATAATATAAGTTATAACCTAATAGGAATAACAAATGAATACATAATAAATAAAGCCAAAGTCGAAATAATAACAATGAATACAATGATTTGGGCGAGTTGGGATTTCCCAATGTGGACTATCTATGTAGGAAAATAACAAAAATATAATGATTGCATTAGTACTAAGCCCTGAAATGACAGATTAGATAGTATACTGACGTCTCGACCACGATTTCACATTGCGTGTTGGCGAAACATATCTTATTCCTTGACTTAGTTCTTTTACATGTTTATCCGAAATAATATTAAAGGGTAGAATAGGTCTCTTAAATTTATAAAGGTCTCGAAATAAAATTTGATTTATACTTTCAGTTAACACAGAATATTTATTTTTTGTTTTCTCTTGTACAAAAATCACATGAAATTTTGACAGTTTTCACCGGTTTACATCTCAGTAGGCACTACTTCATCATAAACGGAGTATATGGGACTTATTTAATCAAGCTAAAATTATAAATCAAGCTTTATCAAAATTTCGGCGTTTTATTCGTAATCGAGTCCGAAAAACGCTCTTTGTAAGTCTGTCCGTATGTCTCTGTGTGTGTATGTATGTGTGTCTGTTGACACAATGCATTGAGTACCGTTACAACTAGGTTGATGCAATTTTATACATAAGTATTACATAAAATTTGTAGTTCTGCTTCAACCTTTAGCAATTTCCGGTAACCGAAAGACGATTTTATTGCACTTTCGGTTTTTCAAAAGCCTTAACTTGAGAACTATATCAGATAGATAAACGAAACTTTACAAATCAGTTCATCAATTAATTATATGCTTTTCTAAAGGTTTGAATAGTAGTCGAAAAAGGCATATGAATGTATAAAGTACTAATATTACTATTTTACACTCATTGTTAGCTTTTCACTAAGTGCGTAATTCTTTTTTTCTACGAGATTCTATTCTATTTTAAGAAGCTTAATTATTTAAAAATTGATTTAAAAGCCTGCCTATATTTCGAATTGCCATCCCCATGAGATACGTCCTATGGTTATTTTTTCATGTATCAGAATGTAAGTTAAGCTGTGATAATGCTCCCTTCATTCAGTATATAATATTGTTTAATCTTCATCTCAACACTTTACAAAACATCACTGCCTGCATCGTTAGCTCAAAAAACATGTAGGACTTGGCTGCTTGAAAGCTGTTGGTTAATCCGTTGTTAGCCTATAATCTTTTAACCCACCCACATGGATGTGTACTCAGACAGAGATTTGTTTCTTGTGGATAAAATGTGGTGACGTGGCAAGAACTCTAGTGGTGAAACAGTGGCGAAGGTACAGAGATGTTAGGGCTAGGGTTTGGATTTACAATGAATAAGTAGCGCTTTACTGGGGACAAATTGGCGTTGATAAAACACAAACCCTCAAACGCATGCAGCTGTTACTAAATTTATGTTATTCCATAATAAACAGAGTAGTTGATACAGTGACCATCAATTTTTTTCCTCTTTGTGCCCAACACCTATGCGGCTGATAAAGTAAAGTTCCCCTGTTTCAATGACCTCGCCATACAAGCGGATAGTGCGAGCAGCACAATGCCCAGCCTAAAGTGGATCAGCTAACCATCTAGGTTGAGTAGACTCAGTGGCGTCTTACAAACGCTAGCTCGGGATCGGAACTCGAGCTTTTGAGTTAGCAGTTGCAAACTTCACAAGTGAGCCAAGCTGTCCCCGAAAAGTAAAGTACCGTTTACGAACCTAACGGTCAATGCACCAGATAAAGTAGAGTTCACATGTTTCAGTAACCTCGACATATGAAAGAAAAGTGCGATCATCACTATGCCCAGCCGCGTCTTATTTTCCTAAAGTGAGTAATGGCATCAATCAGATCTGTGTGGATTCAGGGACGGAATTCAAACTCTAGAATTTCGAGTTAGCAGTTGTATTCTCTATCATCCGACCACACCGTTGAAACTCTAGAGTCGACTATACCTCTAATGATGATTGTTATCTCATTACTGACAACTAGAGTTAACTTATTTTTTCTCGAATAAATCTATCAAAATCTCCCCCTGCATTCCTACTAGCATCACCTCTGCCTTCCAACGCCACGTCTACTGTAACACAGACTTGACTCTATTTAAAACGAAAAGACTGGTTAAATCACATTTTATAATTAGCTAAGCCATTTGGTACAATGTATGTTTCGTGACGACAATAGTCCTGCATTTCAAAATGAACTACTGCATTTTATACGGGTTGGGGATGGCAATACTGTGTTGTTCAAAAGGTTGTATTTTTTCTTTTCTCGTATATTTTTATTTAAAAAGACATTATTTAAAAACAGTTAATATTTTGTATAAGTATTAAAATTTTGTTAAATTTAATTGATGTTGTCTTATAAAATAACAGTTGGATTAGTTTAACTGAAACATATTTAGCAACTAATGACAGATTATCGTTTTAGTGAAAGGTCAAGCTAGTAGAAATGATATCGTCAGCCCAAGTGTAGCTGAGACTGGAGGAACTTTTACTGTGACATGTGACGCGTCACGTGCTGGTGTTCCAACAACTGCTACCACAATTTCTGTTTTACGTATTACTCAAAGACGTGGGACAATAAATTCACTTTTAGCATTTTACAGGACGTTTATACCTCAATACGAAAAAATAGTAAGTATTTTGATTGACAACTTAAACTGTAATATCTTTTATAGGGGCATAGCCTCCAGAACAGCTACATGTACGCATATACAAATAGATTGTTTTACTTATCTATATGTTTAATTTTGATCCGAAAAAAAAATTGTTTCTTCTGATTATAACGAAATCTGAAAAATAATATAATTGAATGTTTTTTCACACAACAGAAACCAACATGTGGGTGGCCCATTGAAAAATAAAAGTTAGAAAATTAATAATTCCATGCCCATACCCACGCCCATGCCTTGTCTCATTCCCAAGCCCAAGCCCATGCCCATGCCCATGCCCATGCCCATGCCCATGCCCATGCCCATGCCCATGCCCATGCCCATGCCCATGCCCATGCCCATGCCTATGCCTATGCCTATGCCTATGCCTATGCCTATGCCTATGCCTATGCCTATGCCTATGCCAATGCCCATGCCCATGCCCATGCCCATGCCCATGCCCATGCCCATGCCCATGCCCATACACATACCCATACCCAAGCCCAAGCCCAAGCCAATGCCCATGTCTATGCCCATGCCAGTGCCTGTGACCGTGACTGAAAACTTGTCCGTGACCACCTAAGTATGAGGGACGTAGAGGGGCACTTTCGAGAGCCCCCAATTTCACTACCACAGGGAAGCCGCGTACAGGCCCAGCGATTGGATGAGCGGCGTCAACCCGCAATCGACTTTTATTTGATTTATATACCATATATAGAGAATAATCGAATCGCGCTCTCTCAGGGCGCCACCCCTTTGAATTTAAAATTATTTTCTTCGCATAAACCTCCCCAGGTTTTTCTCAACAACTTAGACCATGACCTCTTTAGACGTACAACAATATGACGATAATAATTTAAATTCTCATATTCCTTTTAGTCCACGGTTACATACAAACATACAGAACTGAACTTTATATATATATATATATATATATATATATATATATATATATATATATATATATATATATATATATATATATATATATATATATATATATATATATATATATATATATATATATATATATAAATACATAAATATATATATATATATATATATATATATATATATATATATATATATATATATATATATATATATTTATATATATATATATTTATATATATATATATTTATTTATTTATTTAAAATTTAAAACGGACTTTTTCAGCTTCTGTCTTTTATTTTTAGTATCCACCAACTTCTCTTCCAGTAAGAAACTGGACTTATAATTTTGAAGGGAGCCTGAGAGATACAGCGGACCAGCCAAAAAACAGGAACACGATGAAAATGGAATTAGTTGTCCGTGATGCCAAATGTGCAGATGCCGGCACTTACATTTGTCACGGAACATATATAAGCTCTAATGATCATGAAACAAACGTAGAAGGCTTTTACCAGAATCTCTCTATCCGAGGCAAGTATATTATATTCTGAATTAGAACATATTAACTGTAGTATACAATGGAATTTTAACAATAAGTTATTTACTGTATAACAAATATGAATGTCATTTCTTACATTCTCTTATACAAAGCATAGAGGAAGTATTGTAATCGTGCAAAAATAGAAATCGATACTTTTTCATAGCTCGACATTTAACACCTTTCTGAGTCAGAAAAAAATGTAGTTTTGCAAATTTGTCAGTATATCTGTGTGTATATCTGTGTGTGTCTT